GCCGGACGTTGGGCGAGTTGTCCCTCAGTCCGGGGGCTAGCAAGGTCGTCAAAACGAGGGTATCAATCAGATTGGGCCCTTCATTCTCCCCCCCTTTCGGAGGGCCCTGGGGGCATATTTTCATTGTGGTTTAACGCAATCGGAGGTATTATACTGTGTTAGGGGTGATCAACCCGGTCCACAGTCGACATCTGTCTCCAGATGTCAGTTTATCCCCCCGGGCGATACCGGGGGGCCAGTCTTTCCATAGGTGTCAAAAGGACTTTCCCGATAGTCACCAGTCTTTCCTGGTAGTCTTGTGGGCTAGCCACGTACAATAAGAATAAACTCACAGGGAGCAAGTACAGCGGGGATCTACAGTCATCAGTAGAAATTATCCTCTTTCGACACACGTTTCGGCCCACGATTCCTAAACGTATTCGGAGGTGGGCCCACCTGAGTTCATGAAGCTCAGGGCTGCTTCCCCGCCGCACAGAATTACCGGATGGTGTTATACTTTCGGCCAGAGACAAGACGACTTGGTGGTTTCGAAGGAGGTACTGTGAGATAAGAAGTCGCCACGGCTGCGTAATTAGAACAGTCCGCATGCCTGGACGACCGAGCGACAAGCTTACTTTGGTTTACCGGACACATCTTGGACTTTTATTAGCAGTTGGCAGAGAGACACTGGCAGACAATTCGTACACGATGGACTTTTCAAAGGGATAAGAAACTCTTTTCCACTAGTTAAGTAAAGTAAAGTTCCCTTTTCACGCCTTTCGGCGCATCCGGCATATGGGCAGAGCGTCCCATATTTTTACAGACCATCAGCACTCTGTGGGTAATGTGGTCAGCATTACGCCGGCTGTCTTTACTTTCCCAGGACAGCCCATCCTGGTACCCATTTTAGGCTGGGTCGACCTGCGACGTCCCATACCACGATAAAAATCCACGCAGCCTGCGCAGGTTTCGATAGCGGTATGCTGGCTTATGAGTCGGACTCGCGACGCCTTAGCCACGGACGCCGCAGTACAAGATGGTAGCTGAAGGGAAATGGAAATTATTTTTACAAAACTAAGAGACAAGGAATTGCCACAAATATTTTCAAACAATTTTTTTATTTTTTATTTTAACAACACAAACACCTTTTTTTTTAATCTGTCTATCTATCTATCTATCTATCTATCTATCTATCTATCTATCTATCTATCTATCTATCTATCTATCTATCTATCTATCTATCTATCTATCTATCTATCTATCTATCTATCTATCTATCTATCTATCTATCTATCTATCTATCTATCTATCTATCTATCTATCTATCTATCTCTATCTATCTCTATCTATCTCTATCTATCTCTATCTATCTATCTATCTTTCTATCTATCGATCTGTCTATCTATTTATCTATCTCTATCTATCTCTATCTATCTATCTATCTATCTATCTATCTATCTATCTATCTATCTATCTATCTATCTATCTATCTATCTATCTATCTATCTATCTATCTATCTATCTATCTATCTATCTATCTATCTATCTATCTATCTATCTATCTCTATCTATCTCTATCTATCTCTATCTATCTATCTATCTATCTGTCTATCTATCGATCTATCTATCTATCTATCTATCTATCTATCTATCTATCTATCTATCTATCTATCTATCTATCTATCTATCTATCTATCTATCTATCTATCTATCTATCTATCTATCTATCTATCTATCTATCTATCTATCTATCTGTCTGTCTATCTATCTGTCGGTCTGTCTGTCTGTCTGTCTGTCTGTCTATATATCTATACATCTATCTTTATATCTGTCTATCTATTGTTCGTACGTTAGTTCAGTCATTCAGGCTCACATAAACAACAGACGCACCTGTACGACGAGACCGGTCGCATCAACAGACCCGCAGCAATCATGTGAAGTTCCACAGCGCCGAGTATCAGAAACGTTCCCCTCATCCCGAACTCCGCTGTGAGGGCACGGATGATGGGCGGGGCCACGATGGTGGCCACACAGACGCCACTGTTGCAGATGGTGGTTGCCAGGGAACGGCGTTTGTTGAAGTAGCAGCTGAGTAAACTAACGCAGGGCACGAAAACCATCCCCATGCACGTTCCTGTGGAGTAGAAATGCCGACACCGTTTTGGTCCATTATTAACTAGTAATGTTTGTTTCTGGATGTAGACTTCAATTGTTGTTTCAAATCACTTGATTTTTCATCAATCCGTTCATTAACAGTGTTCCTGTTTATGGAAATATCGTTGAATAAGTGTTCTTTCTTCGAACACACAATTTGAGCCGTTTTTACAATGCAATGTTTTACGAAATCTCCTTCACTGTAAGATCTCGTTCTCATGGCGATCTTTGGCTAAGTTGATTGCTTGAGTCTAGAGACACACATTGGGTCTTCACATTATTCGTAAGGTCCATGGTGGTTTAATAAGTTTTGTTTTTGTTTTTTAAGTCTGTACTCTTTTGGCGTGGCAATGCTGTTATTGCAAATTAAACAATGTATCTTTCCATTTCAGGTTGTGGGAAAACGCTATAATTCCTACTTTCTGGAAATACGCGGACTTTTTTTTTTTTTTTTTTGCACTTTCTATTTTTCTCCTACACGGAAGAGGACAAGCCATTTTAAAAACGATGAGGAATCTGCCAAATTATTGTTTTTATCACGTTAACGAAATTTTTATCCAGCTTACTTATCTTTTGTGCGGGCCACAGGTGTGCTTGCCAAGGGCCGCATGCGCCTCACGGGTTGCATGTTTGGTATATCTGATATCTCAGGAGCATCATATAACCTAAATACTGCGATGCTAACAATTATACAAGTGCCTGACCTTTTCCTGCAGCAAAAGCAATGAACACGATGATGTTGGGAGCCAGAAAGTAGCCGACAGAGAACACAGCAAACACGAACCCTGAAACAATGACTACAGGCCGCTCGCCGAAGATTGGGATCAGAACGCTTGTTGAGATGACCGCTGGTAGAAGGTAAAAACATAAACAAAAATGTTAGTTTCGGATCTTTTCACAGAAGGTTGTAGACCAGTCACTGCATTTCTTGGCAGTTGGTGATTTAACTGGGAAACTTTACGTCCCTTTGTGGGATGTAATTTTTCGTAATTTTGAAGCCCCACCCTGGGTTATGCCGGGGGCCCTAATATAACCCAACGGTTAAACGAGGTTTGGAGGACCTTTCTGTGACGGCGCATAGCTTCATTGTGACGGGCGTATGCTTGAGCTACAGTGTGACGTGCTGTAAAGGCTGCGTGGTGATGTGCGGCGTACCAAAATGACTAGGGGTGTCGCAATGCAACAAATGGCATCAACACTTAACATGCCACTGGCCAAGTGTAACACAACATGATGAATGCTGAAGCTTCCAAACGTAGCGGAACGAGAACTCTCTTTAAAGGTTCCATTTGTGTATTGACAAATAGCCAATGATCAACACGAGGAGAAAATATGCAATTAATAATTCATACTCATTCAAGCACATCAACAAAAGCCCGCTCGTATATCCATGGACTGATATGCCCTCACGATAGGTCGCAGTCCGACCTTGAGATCCAGACAGTAAAGTAATCTTTGTCTGCGGTTCCGCAGTCTGAATTAAGCAATGAAAGTATACCGGCTTACTGCCGAACTGTGACAATTTACCAGCTTCCTGCTGAGGTCTATATTGGAGTCCCGGGGTAAAACGTCCTCAAGGATTCAACTTTATACAAACAACGTTTGCTTCCGTGGGATCCCGGGGTAAAAGTAAAGCCTCCTCAAGGATCCACACGTCCGTCTCCTTCGGACTGTAAACATCAACTCTTACTCAGTACTGGTGCGTTCTGGTGCACATCCGCACGCGACACTTTCTACGGGTGATCCTCATCCGCATGGTGGCACTTGGTGTCACCTGGTGTTTATCGCCCTGTGTGATGTCATGGTAAGGTAAAATTTACTTACTTCAGTGGTTTGGGTCTCAAATCTGTGGAATCTAGCACTTATCCTAAAATATTGAGCTCTAATGCAATACTGCTGCATGTATTTGAAACATGGAAAACAAGTAAAGCAAATATAGTGAACTACAAACATTCATTAACTAATGCTTGCGCAAAAAAAAAAATTAAATTGTATGATAGAATCACTAACGTGCAGCTTGAGGACAGAACTAAACAAATTACCATGAATCAAGAGGTGAAGAAAAGACGCTGGCTTTGCATCGCTTCGAACAATCTAACTAGAAAGTCTTTACACTGGAACTGACAATGGCATAGAAATAAAGATAAACAACAAACACACAGAGAAGAGGGCTGGAGAAAGTACTTTAGCGATGAGGAGCAGCACGCGATAGCAAATGATAGGATGACGTGAGTTAGCTGAGCTCCTATGCTCCACTGGGGGACAAATGGCAGAAGAAGTTTGTCCCTGTTTCTTAGCGATCGACTTTCCATACCATACTTGAAATCAATAAGAAGTCGGTTGACCAAAACGCCTGCAGCTTAATCGAACCGAGTATTCAGGAGTTTACAAATCGCGTTCATACCCACTAATTCACAAGCCAGAGCCGTCAAAACCGCATCATTGGCCCCTGGGAAACCCCGTGTGCTGGAGCCCCTACTACAACCACTCACAGGGAGACAATTTTATTTACAAGTCAGTTGACATACACAGATTATCATAGCACCCCTATACCAGTGAGGCTCCCGGGCAAGTATCCACTGGATACGACGACAGTGTTACAAACGCCATGCGTAGGTTCGCAGTTTATTCCGCCATTCCTGTTATCCTGTAGCAATCCTTTCGTTATCATGTGTGGGGATCCATTTCAGCACCTCTAGCCTCACTCGCCAGCGTTAGAGTTGCTTGTGAATGACCTCTCACTTTAACCGGTTTGTTTTCCATTCCAGTGCCTGTCGGGTGGTTCTCCGTCAGCTCGTTCTCGTGATCTGTGCACAGTATATCGTCTCTTTGTCTTATGTTAACACCAGTTTTGAAAGGAAAACACAAACGATACTTACATGAAACACTGAGAGCCATAATGAAACACATCACAGTCAGTGAGGTTATAGTCACCGACGAGCGAAACTCAACAACCAACTCCAGGAAGAGCACGGAGACGGCCTGCATCGATGTACCCATAATGAACATACACACAAAACTGGCTAAGAAAAAAAAAGAAATATCTAAAACAGAGGGAATAGAGAAAAACTCGAACATGTTGATAAAGTTAGAGTTGTGAGTACCGACCTCACTGCAACCTGTTTCAATTTATATAGCTCGGTCTCTCTCTGATAAACGCTTAGCGGCCTTTGAGAGAGTCGTACGAACTCCATATTTCTGACGACACCCCCTATATACTTCCTTCAAAATGTAATGTGAACTGAACGACACCGTCCGTGAAACAAATTCACCACATTCAGAGAGCAAGGCAAACGGCTTGTACAGTGACATGTTAAAAACTGTATACAACAAGAAAAGCGGCTGGATAGCCCACACCAAATGTTCTCCCCAAGACTGGCGTCATCGCCTCTCACAAGACGTTCAGTCTATCATATTCAGGTTAAGGACAGGACACGACAGCTGCCAGCAACATCTCTTCAAGCTTTTCGGTGTCGCAAACACGGAGATGTGTCCCTGCAACTTGACACCTGAAACTGCTGAGTGTGACATTACATGCCTTCCATAAACGCTCCGTCCCAGTATTTAGCAGTATGCGCAGAGATCCAGTTCCGATGGTACCAGTAACAGTCTGTATATCCGCTTTGCATTATATATATATATATATATATATATATATATATATATATATATATATATATATATATATATATATATATATATATATATATATATATATATATATATATATATATATATATATGCAGGGCTGCCAATACTTGGGTTTTCCCATGGCTTCAGATTTTGGAATCTTGGTTTTTTTTAAATATATTCTTAGATCTTTCTTTTTTTGTCAAAATCTGCTTGTGCCGCTAGGCGTCGCAGTCAATCAGATGATCGGCAACCGAGACAGGGCGCGCTCAGTCGCTTCATATGCCGTGATGTTATGAAGTCTCAAGCTGCCCGTGACTCCTTCAATCCATCTTCTTCTTGGTCTTCCCCTGCCTCTTGGTGTTTCTATTTTCATGTTGTATGCTCTTGATGCTGGCATCGTTGGTTCCATTCTCATTAGGTGACCAAACCATTTCATTCTTTGCTTCTCAATAAATTTAACGATGGGTATGGTTCCAATAGTTCGTATTTTTAGATAAAAGTGAGTAAATGTTTTGTTTCGTAACCATAAAATTTGTACTTTTGGATTAATCTTGAGTATTTGTTTTTGTTTTTTGTTCTTTCTTCATGTATTGCTTGGGTTTTCGGTCAGCTTAGCTTGGGTTTTAATAAAAATCCAATTGGGAGGTTTGCATATAGGCCTTGCCTTTCCTTTGAGAGTTGAGCCTTTCCCTTGAGAGTTGAGCCTTTCCCTTGAGAGTTGAGCGTCCGACAGATCCCCTGGATACTTCTCGTTGCATCATTCTTCTCAGAACGTAATGATCTGTTTGTATCGCCGCACTGTCCACTTGCTTTCAAAGGACCCTTACCACACCATCTAGTTTATCTATAATAATTCACCACCAAGTGTCGCAAAACCAGCCAATCCATCTGTCTGTCCGTTTTCCAAAACAGTGTATGACATGGAGAAAGTACGAGCCCAAGGACGCTAATTACCCAGGACCTCTGAAGCGATGCTTGCCACTCTGCAGGGACCATACTTCATCTTTCTTAAGATTCTCCGTGCGTCAGCTAAAATAACGACATGTGTGTATGACTGGTTTTTAAGTCAGCAGGACGCTGCAGTGACTGCCTCCACCTCTATTATCAAACTAGATGTTGTGCTGTTTGCCAGGCTTTGTTTTTCTGAGCTACGACCATTCGTTTCTGCTATGAATGCTGAATATGTGCTCCGCCACGGTAAACTGTATACTGCTGGCAGAGAAATCCCCGGGCCTTTACCAGCCTCCGTCAATACAAAGCTCTAGAGATTTAGACTGCAGGACTTTCATCATGGCTACTGGCCTCCAGGACTTTCATCATGGCTACTGGCCTCCAGGACTTTCATCATGGCTACTGGCCTCCTGGACTTTCATCATGGCTACTGGCCTCCAGGACTTTCATCATGGCTACTGGCTTCCAGGACTTTCATCATGGCTACTGGCCTCCAGGACTTTCATCATGGCTACTGGCCTCCAGGACTTTCATCATGGCTACTGGCCTCCAGGACTTTCATTATGGCTACTGGCCTCCTTACAGATGGACCGAAGCAGAAATTTCTCTTCTCTCTCTCTCTCTCTCTCTCTCTCTCTCTCTCTCTCTCTCTCACACACACACACACACACACACACACACACACAAGCTCTCTCTTACTCTCTCTGTCTTCCCAACACATCCCTCACTCTCTCTCTTTCCATCCCTCTGTCTTTCTCTGCCTCTCTCGCCCTTTCTTTCTCTTCTCAACACCTCTTCCACCCTCTCTCTTCATCTATGTCCATCTTTCTCTACTTCCCCTTCCTCTATCTTTCTCTAACCTCTCTCTCTCTCTCTCCCTCTTCCCAACACCTCCTTCAATCTCTCCCTCCATCCATCCCTCTATCTTTCTCTACCTCTCTCTCTCTCTCTCTCTCTCCTTCCTCTCTCTAGCCCTCTTTTTCTCCCCCCCCCCAACACCTCCCCACTCTCTCTCTCTCCCTCTCTCTGTCTTTCTCTATATTTCTCTACCTCCCCCCTCTCTGTCTATTTTTTTTCCTAACCTCTCTTTCTATCCATCTATCATCATTGTGTTTGTCATCCCATGGTCTATATGTCAGTATATAAACCTGTCTATTGGTAGGTCTCCTGTTTTTTCACCTACCTAAACAAATAACCCACGACCATCCTCGGTCTATCGGCAGCTCGCGCTTCTGGTTCTCTGCCCTGTCCATGATCGCATAAATGTTCAACTGTTTGGAGAATGTCAGGTGCAGTGACACAAATACATGAAACTCTAGAGGTTCTGTAGAACGAACTGTTCTCTTGGGGCAGATCCCTGGTCGTTCACATTTCTCACATCCTTGCTGAGTCTGTGAAACATATAGGCGACGGTTACATCTTTTGGATGTTTAGGAATGGAAGTAGCAAATAGGCCTAGACATAGTGGTTGTGGTAGTAGCAGAAGCAGTAGTAGTAGTGGTGGTGGTGGTGGTGGTAGTAGGTGTATATGTAGTAGTGGTAACTGTACGTGTAGTAGTAGTAGCAGCAGCAGCATACTTTGTGGTAGCAGTAGTTATTGATGTTATTATTATTTTATTAGAAACAGTAATTGTTTCTAGTAAAGAAAAAGAATGTGCGGTGTAGTGCAGTCAGAGCCAGCTACACCAAGTCTGGGTACATGATGCCACTCACCACAGTAGGCAGGCTACCTAGTCTGTGAGTGTCAGAGCACAATGAAATCCGGTTACTGTAGTTTAAATGGGTGGCTCCCCCAATCTACGGTTCCTTTTTTTTTTGGGGGGGGGGGGGGGGGCGCAATACATATTTCTTCTGTTCGTATGCAAACGTACACAGTATGGCACCGTTTTTCTTTTTTTTTAATCAAAGGCTAGTTGCGTATCCTTTACAGGACGTTGCAGAACCAAACCCGGCAGCCCCTGGCTATTGTGTGGTTTCTCTAAGCAAATTAACGTCCATTAGTTTGCCATTGCTTACTGGACGGTCGGCTTCTTGATACCACTGTCGAAACCAACGCAATGCGCATGGCCCGCAGCTGGGATCGAACCCGGCACCCCGGCATTATGAAGCGTTCGCAACGACTTAGCCACAGAGCCGACTTTTAATCAAAACTGTAATAAATACTTTGTGCTGAGTACTGTCACACTTTTTCCCTTAAAAATGTATGATAGTAATAGTAGAAATATTAATAATAACAGCACCAACAATAACGACAATAACAACATTAACACTAGCCCTGTGCTGAATCGTAAATAAAAATAATACATCTGAAATAAAATGAAATTTATAAACAAAAACTTTCAAAGAGAATTTCTATGTTCAGATAAAGTAACCTCCACAATTTCGACCGGTGTGATGCTGACCACATCAACCATCACGTACCGATCAGTCTATAAAATTATTGGTCTAGCCCTATTTGCCCAATGCCGGAATGCATGGAAAGGGTCCTTTACCTTTTCTTTAACCCCCCCCCCCTGTTCCCAGTTTGCCCCTAAATGTTTGGGGATGGGTGCTCAGAAGGCATGCCTCCCCACTCTCCCAGCCTCCGGTACTCAGTCCTGGAGTGTAAATTTGACTAACTCCCCACCCTACTGCCAACATTGTTTAGATGTTCTTTTTCAAGTATTTTTAATATATTTTATTTTATACATATTATTTTATTTATTTGCCATTCAGCACATAATAGTAAACTATAATTACTACTATTTTTTATTATTACGCATTTAAACAAGGTTTAAACGCCCCTTCCTCTCTTTGAAAATGTAAAAAGAAGCTGAGCGTCTCTCTCCCACCCCCCACCCCCCACCCCATCCATTTTTTCAGTGATTTTTGGGTCGAAGCCCTAGTCTCTACTTCACTCTTCTTTTCGTATGCCTCGTACGACACCATAGGCTTTTACTGTAATCACCTCGGCACTAACAAGGTGTGTACGAAATATACTTCTGTCTATTCACCGTTTAGCGGGCCGGAGAAATTGTTACAATGCGGAACATAAACGTATCATTGATCGTAAATTTTGACACAACCTAAATGTGTACCGGCTTGATACAAGTTTGTAAGCTTTTGAGGTGGCTATTCAAAGTCTGCCAGTAGCTGTAAGCATTGATATGATGTACTAGATATCTTCGCCTCTTTCTCGTTTATACACCTTCACAATCATGTAAGTGCATTTTCTGCAGAGTCGTATTTAGGTCTATGCAACATGTGCAGCTGCAAAATGGTTTTGTTGTTTTTGGGGAATGGG